GAATTTCTTGAAATCTCTATAAATAGGAAGCTCTTTCTTCACATACTGAGGACAAACAAATATAAGAAGAGAAAGAACAGAAAAGAAGCTTCAAAGCTCTGTCAAACTCCAAGAATACAAAGCACTCTCTCAAGTCCAAGAATTCAAAGTTCTTTCAACTTCAATTGAAGATCAAGTCTCTATCGACCCTTGAATCGTTCAAAATTCATGCTTACATCAATTCAACATCAAGTCCTTCGACGGTTGAATCGTATTTAAAGATCAAGTCGTTTCAACTCTTGAATGCGTGTCTATGACAACACAACGAAGAAGAATTCAGAGGATAATCTTCTTTGTAATTAGAAGATTCCACATTAAGGAGATTGTATTCACTTCATTATCATAAATTTGATTTTGTATTTTATCTTTTTTTCTTATTTCTTAATTTCAGGAACAAAAATTTTTATCTCACAGGTCCCTTAACCAAGTCCATTGGCTTGGACATTACATGGATTCAGCCAGTTGACTTAAGCGGTCCCTTAAGATAAGTCCATTAGCTCGGACATATATAGTTCGCCCAATTGACCTAAGCGTCCCTTAAGCCAGTCCATTTGCTCAGACATTCACTGGTTCGCCTACTTGACCCTAAGTGGTACCTTAAACTAAGTCTATTGGCTCAACATATAATAGTTCGCCCAGTTGACCTAAAGCGATTCTCTTATCCAAGGTCCATTAGCTCGAACATTACACGGTTTCACCTACTTGACCTAAGCGGTCCCTTAAACTAAGTCTATTGAGCTCTGGACAATAATTAACCCACCCATTTCTGAACCTCAACGGTCTTTAATTTAAGTCCATTGACTAGGACATTAGGGCAGTTCACCATCTAAGACCATAAGCTATCTTTACTAAGTCCATCGATTACGGGAAACACGCATGGCTTTGCCAAGGTAAGACTTAAGTAAGGTCCTTAGAGATCGGCTACACCACCAGTTCATATTTTACCTTGAACGAAAAACTTAAACAAACATAAAAATAAAAGGGAGCACCATTCGAAATACTTAGTCAACAGAAGGAAGAGCTTCAAACACACAAGCAATAATATGGTGGTTCATCCATTTTGATAAAAAGTGATTTACATGATGATTTCACAAAACTTCCTATTCAAAGGATAAGTTACAAAAATTTTTCCCCTTTAACCATCTAAATTACATGATTTGTCAGAGGGACCCTCCTCCAGCTGCTCTCACCCCTTTGCAAATGGGTGGATATCTGCAGATACTTTAGTGGTCCACCCTTGAAGTGATAAAATCAATCAATAGAGCAATTCACATCCTCTTCTTCTTTCTCGTCTTCATCACCCCCATCCGGGTATACATCCGTTTATCTAAACCCCAGTCTTACTTTAAAGTGTGCCTTCGCCTTTAGTTCAGTTAGAATGTTCATCCTTAAGCTTAAGGCACGCTCTGGCCTAATTTCTTCCTTGGATCTTCCTGACCCCGGAGCTTCGTGCAGTTCCTTTTTCATCTCCTTTAACCTTGCTCTCAAGACTATTGTTTTGTTAAGAGGCTTCCAATTTCTCCTCGTCTTAGGTTGTCGTGGTATCGAAGTCCCAAGCAACAATCTCCAGCTTATGCTGGCCTTCATCTCCTCATAGCAACTTCAGCACTTCTTTAGCGTTGTCTCCATTCTCATTCTTCACTTCCATCTTCATGTAGCCTCCTTTAACTAAGTTTATCGAGCAAGTCATCTATTTGGCCATTCTATAGCCATAAAACAGGCACTAGTTGATTAAGTCTCTTGTCGCCATATCATCTAGACAGTCTCAAAGTAACGAGCGTTCAAAACAGGAAAGAGACAGTGTGGAAGCCATTTTCTCGATTGGGCCGTACTCCTGAAACTACATTTGCCCCATACTTATGCAAGGAGGACCTTAGGATATCATCGCCCTGGAAGGAACGGGAGGGGGAACTGGAACAGGCACTGTCCCTCTTCTTTTTCTTAGGGTAGCTCAGAAGTTGAAGCTCATGGAGGAAGCTCGGAATGAGTGGCCCCAATGCAACAGCCAGCCTCAGTCCGACTGAGTATCTGGGTACCACTTAAAGGCACCTCCTTCTTGAACTCTCAGCAACAAACCTTCCCTTTTCATTACTCAAGCAACTTAGCCTCTTAGAACCGCCTTAAAGTTTCTTGGGAGCCATTTCTACACAAAAATGAGAAGGGAAAAATTAAGAAATGTTAATGTAAAAGACCAAGGAAAGTAAACTAAAGGACAAATTTACCATGGGCGAGATGGATTAGGGTCTCATGGGTCCACTTGAGCAGGTCGGATAACCCTCGTCTATCACCTGCCTCAGATTAATCGACCCCAAGCCCCCCACCCTATAACTCCACACCAATCGATTCATTGGGTGGGGCAAGGCAGGAAGGTGGCGAAGCGGATCCTTCGCCAACGATTGGCACTAGGAACCACCAAGGTATTAACAATACAAGATACTTAGATTTTCTAATTCTTCAAAGAGGAAATCTTAGATTTTCTTAGAGCAGATTGTTTGCAGTTGTTCTTCGCCTGAAAATAGCAGTGGTCCTCGTTCGGGAATGGAAGAAGTGATAAAAACTCCCGAAACCGTCCGAGCCGTCAACTAATGCCATCTTGGTTGAGCCAATTGGCTGATTATGCCACACAAAGAGCCTCGATTGTTTGGGGTGTAACTGACTGATGTTAATGTCTATATCATTAAAAAATGATTTTAGAGGTTCGAAATAAAGAAAACGCGAACCCCCGATCGGAACCTCGTCCAAGCGGCTCGGTTACCCTTCATTGCCCTCTAAAGTCTACTCAGTTTATATTATGGCGAGAGGCTATACGTACAACATACATCAATAGCTTCCCTCATCAAATGTCGGATGATAACATCGGACGATCCTAACATCTCTCCCTCCATACCTCTAGCATCACCCCCACCCCTGTGTCTGTCCTCAGTATGCTCATCACCGGACTGATCATGTAATACTTTGAACATACCTCTCCCCAGAGGAACTCATGACCCCAGCTAATGAAAAGGAGAAAAAAAGGAAAAGTATAAAAAACTTACCTTGGAAGTTAGAGAGAGAATGAGTTCTAGAGAGAGACCTTCTGGTGATTTGAGAAATGAAAAAGTGAAGCAAGTGAAGGAAGATAGAGCCTTATATAGGCCAGGCGGGCACTGAAGAGTCCCCTCATTTAAATGAAGCAATCTTTCAGGTGCCCCCCAGTGACCAACGCCTCGTTCTCTTGAAAATAAAAGCTATCATTACTAACAGCCTTTACAAAGCAACACAATAAAAGCCTGCAACAAAAAATAATAAAATAAAATTAATAACAGACAATAAAGATACATAAAAACTACACTTGACGATAAAATGACCAAATAACTAAGAGGGACTATTTGTTAACATACAATTAATAAATATATTAAAATATAAACTAGATTTTCTAAATTAAACCCCAACTAGCAAGAATAATATAGAATTCATATTCCTTATCTAACATGATTCATTTCCTGAATCCAATATATATATCCGGAATTATCCACAAGAACGATTTAATCCATAATTACTTACCTCAAATTCTGAAAAGCTATAACAGATAGGTTTCAATGGCAATAAACCAAAACAAGAAAGATTTCCTACTGCCAGAAGTTGAGAAAAACGAGAAGCAAAAAGCAGTAAGTCTTCACCCAAACGGCGTTTCAAGGTTCTTTTCAATAACAGCAGGAGATTATTTCACGCTTTGCGATTGCTGAATTTGCCTGTTTTAGTTTCTTTGCCTTGTTTACTCTTATTGGCAATCCTTCTTGTAAGCGCAGTCCCTTGTGCTTTTTCTTTCAAAATCGTTATTCCTAATGCAGTAGACGATTTGGAGTAAGCAATCTGCAGCTCTCTCTTTTGGTTGAGTCGATAAAACTAGAGCTTGACAAATTGAAAACCATCAAACATTTAGAAATGTAGTATTTTTGAGTTTTTCCAAGCGTCCAAAGAGTTGCTGGAGCTTGTAGATGCTTTAGAGAAAGTGGTGGAGAATGCAAAGAGCAAGTTATCAAAAACAATAATGCAGCTTAACTGCTTTGTAATCAGCTTCTTCCTACAATTACAAATGATGGTAATTCTAATTAATATACTTCAAGTATTTATTTGATTTGTTTAAGGCCTAGGGAGTTTTAGTGATCAAACTTGTGTATTGTTACACAGAGGGACAAGGAGTCTAAATTGCAAAAACTAATGACTAGGTGCCACAACTTATGCCAAAACTTTGATTATGCTTAATTACTGTTGGATAATAATTGGTAATTAAGAGCAAATTCCAATTCACGTTTACCAGATGTAGCTGGGAACTATGGTGCTCATTGGCTTTCTTTGACTGACATGCTCAACCAAAGCCTTCCTGATGTTTTAATTAATGATTAATGAGCATGTGGATAAGCATGTTAGCGTTCTTGCTGAACTTTAATTTTAAATTTCCTTACAAGTTACGTTTCTGTTTAAGTTTTAGAATAGTTTTTTCAACTACCTTTGAAGCCTCACAGTCAAGACTATCTAATTTTTTGTTTTGCTTTCTGATGAGCTTACATGAACATTGAGCAAGAGATGCAGATATTAATTGTTTATTATTAGATTGCAAGTTATTTATCTTTGATATTGAGGAAGAAGGGATTTAAGATCGCCAAGTCTAATATATATATATATATATATATATATATAGTATATATATATATATGTATTTATCACTGGACCATCTTCCAAACTTGTAATTCCAATATGATGTTGTTTTTATTCTTTTAATTTAATCACGAGGATGATTTTATATATGTACACTCGATCTTGTACAATAAGATGCTAGTATATATTGAATCCCTAGAAAACTGCATTTCTGCTTTCCTGCAGAAGCTAAAGAGCATAGTCTATGTACCAAAAGGGAAAAAAAAAAAAAAAACAGTGGAGAAAAAACAATGAGAACTAAAAAAAAAAAAAAAAAAAAACAGTGGAGAAAAAACAATGAGAACTACTTAATTAAGCCGGTAAAAAGTAAAAACTTATAAATTATCCCCGAGGTTATTTACAAAGGTTACAACAAATGCCCCACCTTCACTCTTCTAAACTTCAATTTTCACAAATGTAATTTACAGTATCAAACATATTTCACCATCCAGGCTAGTCAGAGTTGCATTAATTCATTAAAAAAAGCCAGAAAAAAAAAATCTAGGAAAACCAAAAAGAAAACCCAAGCAGCACACCTCATTAGGACTAGACTTATCTCCTCGCAAACCCAATATTTGATTAATGAACAAATAAATATACCATGGAGACAAAGCAACAAACTAATGCTTACTTGCCTCCAAAAAGAATGTGCGTCTAGCCCTGAGCGTACGTCCTCATCGGCCAACCAAGCTCCAAAATCCCTATTTCTAAATCCTAACACTATTAACCATCGCCTTTGCCATCGCCATTGCCCTGCAACCCACCCATCCAAACCATACAAAAATTGTTACAAGCCTCATCATTCTGGTTAGCCCTTGCGCACTCTGGAAAGCATGTCATTCTCATTCACACTTGCCCACTCTGGAAATAATTCTATTGATGCTGACAGTGATCAACATTTCCAGCAATTTTAAGTGACCAATAAGAGCTATACAAAGGAATTAAATCCAATTTGTCAAAATCAAACCTAAACAAGTCGATGCTGTCGCAAACCCTTTCCAAAGTGAGGTTGCATCAACCTGACATACAATCCATTCTTTGCCATCAAAGAATCATGGGTTCCTTCCTCAACAATCCGTCCTCCATTTAGAACTACAATATTGTCCACATGCCTCATCATTGCAGCTCTATGAGCTATCAAAATGGTTGTTTTGTTTCCCATGATCAGTGTATCAAGTGCTTCTTGAACCACCCTACTAGATTCAGATTCAATGGATGAGCTAGCTTCATCCAATAACAAGATGGGCGCATTCTTGAGAACAACTCGAGCAATTGCAATTCTCTGCTTCTGTCCTGGTGTCAGGTCTACACCCCTCATTCCTACATGTGTGTCATAACCATGAGGAAGGCTGCTGATGAAGTGGTGAGCATTTGCTATTCTTGCAGCCTCTTTCACCTCAGCTTCACTAGCATTATGCCTAGCATATATAATGTTTTCTCTAATCGTTGTTGAGAAGATAATTGGTTCCTGCTGCACAACACCTAAGTGACTCCTTAACCATCTCAAATTATATAGTTTCAAATCTCGCCCATCTAGTAAAACCTGACCAGCAACTGGATCATAAAATCTCTCAATTAAAGAGATTATAGTGCTCTTTCCAGACCCTGAAACTCCTACAACAGCTACAGTTTGTCCGCCGTTAACTTTAAGGCTGAAATTGCTCAATACTAACACTTCTGGGCGAGTAGGATAGCAGAAATCGACATTCTTCAACTCAATGCTTCCATAGACATTAGGTGGCTTCAGTGCTGAGTTATCATCTGGGTCAATTTTAGGAACTCGATCTATAATTTCAAATACTGAAATGAGAGATTTCCGCCGTTTAAGAATGTATGGAGCCAATCCAAAAGGCTCGACTAGTGCAAATGTTGCAAATGAGAAAACCATATACTCCTTGATAGCTGTAGGCAGATCCATATACTCTTTCTTTACAGAGTATGCAGTGTACCAGAGAAGAAGGGCATTACAGGCAAAAAGAAGAAACTGTGAAAAGCCAAATGCAAAACCAATGGCCATTCCATGGAGAAAACTCTGCTTGAATATTTTCTTCAATTGCAATCTGTAGAGCTCCATTACCTTGTTACCAGCACAGAATGCGACAACAGTGTAGATGTTTCTAACAGCATCCTCAAGAACCAATGATGCCTTCCTGTGCATCTCCTGTATGCCCCTTGAAAATCCAGCAAGCCACAACTTCTGCAATATTTCAGTTGGCAGCAATTCAGAATTTGAGCATGGATGTCATTATCAAATTGTCAAAAAACAAAATGTTGATGGAATTGAAGCTCAATCTCTGAATAACTCTTAAATCCAAGAAACATTAGTGTGACAGGATATCATGCATAGCAGCTATGAGGATGGCACACAACAACAGATCACACAATTTAGAAAAAAAAAACAAAAAAAAATACATCTGTTGAACTCCTTGGTCTCAAAACCAAATCCAATGTAAAAATAGAAACACAAGAATGGAATGTAAGGGGGGGAAACACAACAATCTGAAAGATAGAATTCAACACTTTTTGTCTTGGTAGACATACTCCGATGCTGGAAACCAAATCCTACGACTTCAGGAAAGAAGATTCCAATAATAAGAAAAAGGTTGATCCACCATTTGCTGACAACTATTATGAGAATTACAACCTCATTATAAGATTTATATATAAAGACCATCCTGAGCTAATGGTGAACTCATTCATGATCAGACCAAGTTACCAGGATGTTGTTTCAGAAATTAACATTTATCGGTTCCAAAACATCTATACACTAATATGTGATTATCAGAAAATTTCTTATCGTCTTTTCATGTTCACAATCTCTATGATAAACTAAAATCTTCAAACATCTAGAAATTGGATTGAGTCATCTAGAAGAAAACAATTGCAAAATCAAATTTCAGTCTCAAAAATGCAGCAAGGGAATCACTCAATGACTGCAGAAAATGGCACTAAAAATATTTATGGAATAGGCAACCACATGATCTGTATACGACCGAGAACTGAGAAATATAAATGGAACAAGTCGATGATCAATTAGATAATATCAGGTTGTTAAGTAGGAAGAGAATATGCAAACCTGGGCAATCGCAGAAACCATGAGAACTGGCAGGGTTGCCAGTGCCACGAGAGCCAATCGCCACTGAAGCAACATCCCAATGACAACAGCCACAAGAACAGCAGCACTATCCTGTATAAATATTGAAAGTCGGTTACTGAATGCAGCTCGCACAAATGTGGCATCATTTGCCAACCGCATGGACAACGTGTCAGCACTATTCTCCTCTTCATCAAACCATCCAACTTCATTGCGGAGCATTGCTGTTGCATAATGGCATTAGTAAGGTAAGGTTCATGTATAGGATTTTTGTACTTTTGTTATTTTCTATTCTCAAGCACCGAAAACAAGATTAGGGGTTATTTACCTGAGAACATCATCCTCCTAACCCGTTCAGTCATTTTTTCACCCATAATACCAAAATAGAAGTGCTGCAAGAAATTTGCAACCACCGTCACTATACCCATACAGGCAATGATCAAGCACCACTTGTCAACATCCTGCCGCAAGTGATGATGTCCAGGTCTATAATAAGCAGTCACTATCAGCGCAATAACATAAGCAAGGAGTGGATTAAAAGAACCAAAAATAGCAGCACCAATGCTTCCTAAAACAGCATAGAGCCACTCTGCAAAACTAAGTTCTGCTAATCTCCAAAAAGATGGTGCTTCCAAATGCTTTGTGTCCTTTGCACCCTTGAATTTAGTAGGAACATCATCAGAGTGACTATGGGGTCGACTAAAAGTTTGTGAGTGGGAACGTTCATTTTTAGGATCTGATGTCAAAAGGGGTGATACAGGTGATTCAGGATCTGAACCATTTGATGTTAGTCGATGTGCAGAGTGGACATCAATCTTGGGTAACTCTGGTAGTCGCATTTCAAAACTATCCTGTCTCTTTATTGATGGTTCCTTTTCAGTTCCATCCAAGGGAAGACCATTTTCCATCATTTTCTCCGGAGGTGGACTCCGAGCTTGTGGTGATTCTTGCGAGTTAAAGGTGCCATCTGGAGGCCGTAATATACCAGGAACTCTCTGAAGAGAGGGTGATTTCATCATTTTAGGAGAGGAGGGTTCTTGGAAGCTGTGACTAGCTGAAGAATCCTTTTCAATTTGGAAAGTAGCAGTCCCCATGTAGTTTCTAGCTGGCATCCTGGAGAAAGATACACATCTCATAAGCATGTTTTTTAGCATAGTAAGCGCATTTTCAGAACTTATAAAAATTCTATTTGAAAACCAAAGCTGCTTTCACACATGAAATTGCTTCATAGTGAAGACAGTTTATCCTTTGGTCATACCTCCTTGGAAGTTTTGCCGCTTCTTCACATTTGAGAAGCTCAGCATATAGACCGTCAAGGTTTAATAATTCATCATGTGTACCCATTTCAACAAGCTGACCTTCCTCCATAACAGCAATATAATCAGCATTCCTAATAAGACTAAGACGTCGAGCTATTATTATTGTTGACCGTCCCAACATGAGGAGATCTAGAGCCTCCTGAACTGCTCTCTCAGCTTCAAAATCAAGTCCACCAGTAACTTCATCAAGTAGAAGAATGGTTGGATTCAAAAGCACTGCTCTAGCAATAGATAGTTTAATTTTTTGTTCCTCAGTCAACGCTAAACCAGCTCTACCCACCTGGTACGAAAAAGAACTATTTTCTCAAAAAGATTGACATAAGGAGCAATAAATAACACAGGTTCAAGCAAAGTGGTGTTGATAGTTTTACCTGTGTCTCATAGCCTCTCTCAAGTGAGCTAATGAATGTATGCGCGTGTGCTATTTTGGCAGCTTCTTCAATCTGATCTAGTGTAGCATCTCGTCCATAAGCAATATTATCTCTTACGCTCAAACTTAGCAAGGCAGGTTCCTGAGTGACTAACCCTATTAGGCTTCTGAGCCATTCAAGTTTTAGATTTTTAATATTCTCTCCATCTAAAAGAACTTCACCTGTAATGCAACAAGAAAAAAAAATGAAAACAAAAAATGTAAAACCATTGGCATCTACAAGTGACTTAAACTTTGGAAATCTGTGAAACCTCAAGTGACATGGCACGAGTCCCAAGGCAATACCTAAGGTGGGATCATAAAACCGCTCCATGAGAGGGATAATACTGCTTTTCCCAGAACCATTTCTACCAACAAGTGCCACAGCTTTTTTGGCAGGCACAGTGAGGTAAAATCCACTCAAGATGGGGATCTCAGGACGAGACAGATAGCTAAAATATACATTGCGAAATTCAATATTTCCTTGCACTGACACCAAGGTGTTGCCATCTTGATTTACAGTAGAGGAAGATCGGCTTATCATCTCATAAAGTCTATAAGCAGCAATCCGTCCCTGGTCAAATGAATAGAAGTTTGTTGCTGCTTGATTCAGCCCACTGTGAAACACCCGAGATGGAATATAAGACCATATAATGTAACAACACCAATAAGAGAAGAGAGAAAGACACTTACAGGCCACTCAAAATTACAGCAAACAGAGCTGTTATTATTTCACCACCATGAGCTTTGTTATGTGTAACCAGAAGCCTTCCAACCCACAGTTGTAAGGCACAAGAACATATTGCAAGCCCATATGTAAACCCAAGCCCAAGTCCTTGCACAAGACTAATCCAAATACCGTATCTTAGAGTTGCTTGTAGTGAGGTTGCATAAGAATACTTGGCCAAAGTTTCATTTGTGAATGCATATAACGTCCTAATATACGAGATTGCCTGCATAATCCATGAAGTTTTAGCATTCAGTATCATAAGTCATTTCTTACAAGACACATGTTGATTAATTCAACTGGTAAATTCATGATGGAAACTGTAAGAGGGAAAACATTGCAAAGAAAGATGCTAATACCATGAAGCCATGAGAAATACATAGAAGTTTCCAAATTCCAATGCATGAGTGACCATTAAAATCTTTGGCAATAAATAACCCCTAATGGCTAAATCCATAAGTACAATTATCTGAGTCTAAATGGGAAGAACCTACGAATATATGACACACACTGCCACACCAAGACAGACAAAAAAATTTTGAAAAAAAAAAAAGACACTAAATTATACCAAATTCATGAGTCTATTATCACACAACACAATATCATAGTAAAGAAGAAAACATACCAAAAAATATCAAAATAATCTATAGTTCAGAGTAAACGGGCAGTGATTTAATAATATTGAACATTGGATATGTAATACCACCTAAGATTATTGACGATATTGAAGAGCACAACATACTTAAAAAAACAAAAAATAAATAAAAACTGAACATCTATGCAAGGAAACAGATTTTTTCTTAGCTTGTATAATTTGCAAATTAAATGATTAACATTTAAATCAAACTGAAAAGAAAACTTTTACAACCCAAATTAAGCTGAAATCATTATAAGAAGAAGAGACATTTGAGATAAAATCCAACCGAAAAGCAAGAGTGAAACTTGTGCCAAAAAGAGAGAGAGAGAGAGAGAGGGAGAAGGAGAGAGAAATTAAGAGTAAATGATAATTAAATATGAAAATAATTATTACAGAAAAGGGGTGTTTCTGTTATTTCCATTTTAAGGGCTAGAGCTTTCTTTTCTTTTCATATTTCTGGTAGGGGGGTTGGAATTATTCAGGAAATGTAGGAAAATGAATAAACCTGTTCAGCAACACTGGCAGCTTCTGCATATGCATCTTGAATACTCTCAGCAAGCCTGTGAAGAAATATATTCGATATACCTCCAGCAGCAACAATGAAAGGACCAGTGGCTAATGTTATGAGTGCAATCTGCCAGCAGTTGATAAATCCAATGACAAGACCACTAAAAAATGTTGCCATGTTATGGATATAGTTTCCAACCTACATCATCAAAGACCTCTATCAAGTTAGATAAGATAGATTCCCAAGTAAGAAATGCAGAACAGTTCATCTTATTCTAACATACCTTTTCACTGAGAGCAGATTGAATAAGGAGCACATCACTCAATACTTGGCTAACAATGTCCCCATTGTTCCCATAAGTGTCGAAAAAGCTCATGTCCTGATTAAGTAATACTTGGACATAGTTGGACCTGATGACAGCAGTCTGGCGCTCTCCAGTTAGAATCCAGCACGATACCTCTATTACAGAAAGCAAGTTAGCATCAATGGTAACAAAGAACTAAGCATAAGAATATACCAGAAATGCAACTGAAATAATCATGCTACATATTATAAACCTTACCAATCCAACCAGCTGCAAAAACACCCACAGCTATATAAACAATGGTTAAAGCTAGCTGCATTAAACAAACAACTTTGTTAATTAAAAGAAGTTAAATCCACCAACATGCACTAAAGCTTTCAAACAGATTTTTTGGAGTGAAAGAAACCAAAGTATCCTCCACTGCCCACTCCTCGCACACACATGTATACCCCAAAAAACAAGGCAGGGAAGAAAAAATAGTTAATAACATCACCAAAAATAACCTAAACTACATATGGAGAGATATAGCCTTTAATAAAGTGCATATATTAAAAGTAAGTTCAAGTGCAAGTGCCAATAATTGAAAATCAAATAGTGAGATATATAAGGTCTTATACAGCCTGGGACATGGGTACACATAGAGGTATTTTATCTTTATATGCACAGCATAGGAACAATTGGCCATACAGCACTGTGTCCGACAGTTTAACAAAAATTGCCAAACAAGTGAAAGCAGATCACTTGTTTGAAGGGCATTCAGGCTACTTTCAATTTTTAATTCATCCTATACAAATAATCATTGTTGGATTAAGGTCAACTATTTATAAAGTTACAGTTAAAAGGAAAAGGCAGTGTCATACATACACACAACTCTACATCACAACCTGGAATGCCTCTCTTTGTCCCTTTGCTCTCACAGGTCAAAATATTTTCATCTATCTAAGATAACTGAACTACCATCCCTCTATCAGACACACCATGCACTCCACCCCCCCACCCAAGAAACCTCTGCATTGCACCTTTTGAACAATAACTATGAGAATATATTATGAAAAAAAACTGTCTTATTTTCTGCTGAAGGACATTGTTCAACATTTCAATATCGTCTCACACATGCTTTGCAGCAAGACCATGATGACTCACATCAATACAGTTATCATGGAAAAGATAAAGGCAAGTCCATGTAATATAGATCCAAAAAAACAACTTAATGAGCACAATATATTTGTCAGGTGAAAATTTCATATCCACAGAAAAGTAATATGTGCATTTATTACAATTATTACAAACTACTAAAAAGTCATTTCAACCAAAAACTTCATACTCAGGGAGAGAAATGGCATGTATACAGGGCTGTTTAGAATTCTCCCAAGAAAACATGTACAATGGAACTATATGCAACCGAAAATGGAGTTCAGTTCTAAAAACCCTCACTATTATAAACTATTCAAGTGTACCTCAGATCAGCAAGACAGAAAGAGTTGGAACTTAATAATCTTAATAATGAGTGGAACCCAGTTAAAACAAACAAATAATAACAAAGAACAAAGGCTAGTTAAAAAAAATACTGTAGGATTGACCATAGACACAAAATTTCTCACACCAAGGATGATTGCGGAGTTAGCACAGAGAAAAAAAAAAAAAAAACCTTAATATGATATTTATTTATCTAGAAAAGGGTAAAGATAAGATTTCAAGAGATGTCCAGTAACAGGTAAGAAATAAAAGCAGTGCCCATTAGATGCATAAATTTGTTTGCATGGTTGCAAGGCAGAGATTCCCCATTTTCATGAACATCCGACTTAATGAAACCAAAGGTCTGTTTTTCCTCATGTAGTGACGAGGTGGGGAAATATTTGCCCCATTAGCAGGAATAGAGAGTGTGTTAACTGCTGCACCGAGAATGTATATATATTCATAAGCAATGGTATTTTAGCTGTATTTTTGGAGATCTAATATGACAAAGATTACAATAAAAAATGAAAAAAAAAGCCGTGAACAGGGATCCCCACAGGGATGGCAATGGGGAAAATTTTATCCTTCTTATGAGTGTGACGATGAGGATAGGGACAAAGATGAGGTTGGGGAAAGCTGTATGGGGAATAGCTCAATGTCCTTTGGCCCAGCACATTGCTTCTCCTAGTGCTCCAAAGGCTCCAAGGGACTTAAGAGCTCTATCACTTGCCTTGGTGGCTCAATGTGCACTTTTGACGACTAAGAGTGTTTTTAATCTTACTCTTCATTGGTTGGACAGAGTTATGTTTGTGCGCTCTTGTGTGCCAATGGCTTTTCTCCAACACTTGAACTAATCTTCACAGTAATCTCCTCTAATAGTGTTCTTGAGGTTAGAATCTAGAGTGTAATATTATGATCTTGCATGCAAGATTTCATTGCACTCTAGTATACAGATGACAAACTGAACTAGGTTCAATTATTGCAACTTTACAAATTGAACATATCGCATCAGATTTTATGCATTTCAAGAATATATGTGAGCTTCAACCCTCAGGCATGCATTTGCATACTATGCCCAGCCCTACGTACCTAGTTCACTTTGCATCTTTGGTAATCATTATATATTGCAAAACAAGCAGGCGTAGCCTCCATGTGTATGGACTTTGGGCCATACAAAGGTATGATTTTTTCTTTTCAACAATTGATAAAACCAAAGCAGCATGAACAAATTGATAAAGTATATAGAAGAAGATACATGGATGAAACCAACATGAAGTCAACACAAAACTGAAGCTATGAAGAAACAAACTATAGTCTAGGAAGGTAGGTTAAATTTATGCCTCATAAAAACAAAATATGCCCCTTGCAAGTTGCAAACTTTTAAGCAATAATGAAAGAATTGGGACCAACCTAGATGGAGAGAAATCTGCTCAGAACTTGATTTTGGCATGTAGGTTTTACGACATGAAGGCATAAGAAAAAGTGAAGACTTTCACACAAACGATTAAGGTATGAGAAATTGAAATGGGCAAATATGGTGGGATAGTGCTATAAATAAAGTCCCCCAGTTCCCACTATGTTAAAGGAGAAGTTCTACAAGGCTAATTTGGTTGGCAACAAAGATATGGCGATTAAAAAATATTAAATTTATCCCCAAATGAGTAGGAAAGATTAGATCTAAAGGTGAATATGTAAATAATACAAGAAATGACCACATTTATAGGAAGGTAAGAAGGTGGAAATGGAACCCATAAAAAATAAGCTGATTGAGAGAAGACCAAGGTTAATTTGGACATATGCATTGCAGATTGGTTGATGCACCAATTAGAAGATTATACATATACAAGTTAAAAGAGCAAAGGCAACAAAGAGGAGTGCAACGGTAGCAATTAACAAAGCAGTAAAGAAGACTTTGGATCACTAGACTTGCAAAAGAGTGGTCTTAAACAGGCTAAAATGGAGAAGGATTAATATAGCTGAGCTTTATAGAATGTGATTCATGTTTTGTTGAATTGATCTGATTTAAAGCCCAAAGGCTTGTTTTTAACATAGGTTGCTTCATTGGTATTTCATGGCTGCCTCTTCCTTCCCCCAACCTTACTTTATCGTCCAATTAAGAAAAATAAGTTCATGGTTTTAGCATATATCCCTGGTATCAATTACGAATATAACAGATGTGCATACTAAAACTTTAGTCTATAAAGTAACACTCCTAGAAGTACATAGCACAGGATGTGGAAGTTTCCATAAGAGTCAGCAGTAGGATTCAACTCTAAACAGGTTCCCTAAAGTTGAATACGTAGGTGGTGAATTAACAATATCCTCTTGAGATGAAACAACATAGGCATCCAATTCTCCTAATTTCTAAAGATTATAATTCAGCTAAAAATTTGAAGAGTAATAGAATACATAGGATTCGAAATGAAAGATGTTCCTCTCGAAGTACAAACTCCATTGCTAAAAGCATGCCTTTTGACAAAAATAAAACCCTCAAAATCCTTTTGAAATCTGACATTGATATTTCCAACTGCATCTGAGTATGCAATGTAATGTGATTGGTTTAGAGAGAGAGAAAGAGAGAGTAAAGTCATCGAGAGGAACATGTTAGGCTCTATAAATACATAAGCTTAACAAGGATTAGAATTAAACAGAGACGGCCAGAAAGATAGAAACAAAGAATAAGAGATAAAAAGAAATAGAAGAGAGTTAGAGAGAGAAGAAAGATTCTTATAAATTCTCCTACATCATTCTCATACAGTGGATTAGCTAATTATATGAATATTAGCTACTAGCAGAATATCAAAAATCTTTTTACTAACTAATTACTAACAATTCTGCCAGCTTAGAGTTTACTACTTGTTTACTAATGTAACTGACCATTACTTCCTCAGTCACAGAAATATAAAATCTTCAAGGCTTGAGGGCAAAAAGATCATACTCCCTAGGACTTGTTACTGCATGCAAGAAAACGCACTATACATTTGAAATCTGTATTTTGCTTAGGTGATCCTCATAAACAAACACACAAGGGCAATAGTAAGATAGATTCATAAATCTCCTCTATTGAGTAAGCAAACACTGGAAGCACAAAATGAAAGTTAACCAATATCTTCCATGTAAAGACAACATGTGCACAAGCTTCGATGAGAAATTCACACATCATACCAACCTACATTCGCCCTTTATGTCCAACTTACCATAAGTAAATAACAGCAATTTACAGTACAATGAACTGTGTTAAGCCAACTGTCTCATTCCCAGCTATTACCTAATAAATATACCACCCTTGGATCAAAACTATGTTCTTAAGCAGAACTTTCTTCACTTCATAAGGCAATACATATCATTTCCCTATCTAAACCAACACAATACTCTCCCACTAGATGAAACAACTTGAAAACACTGAAAACGCAAGTTTCAATCACAAAATTTATCCAACTAAAAAACCTCTTCTGACAAATACCCAGTCATTCAAAATGAAAAGCTTCTTACTGATGATTATCACTAGAAAGGATATATTTTGATTTCCAATCGACCAGATAAAGAAAAGAAATGCTATCAAACTATAAAATTTCCAAACTTCACCAATTTCAAACTAAGCCCCAAAACCCAAATTTTACTCAAATCTTAGTTGCTTCTTAGGTGAAAATTCATCTGAACTCAAAGAAATTGAGTCTACAAGTCATAAACAATGAAAACCCATAAATCAAAATCTCAACTTCCTTCCGTTTTCCCTCATTGTTTCATCAACAAACAAACACAAAAACTACTAAAAGTATAAATTATGCAAGGAAAAAAAGTTTCAAAAATTGAAATATCCATACTACTCACATCTTTGAACCTCTGGAATTGCTCCTCAGGTCTATCAGGACCTGAACCAATCCTCATAACCTCAATAATCTTCGCGAAGTAATGCAAGTAAACAACGAGAGCAGTGCCATGGGCAGCAGCAGCAATAGAACCAACGATCATAAGTCCCCAATCAAGCCGGTCAGCACAAGCAAACAACCGCGAGAATGGAACAGCAGCAGGAGGCGGTTCCATCTCCTCAGGCTCTTCCATCTCCTCCTCCGCCTCAGCCTGTGCAGCAGCCGCAGCTGCTGCAGCCTCAGCGCTTGTGTCAAGATACGGCGACGGAGATTCCGGCGGCTCAGACACCTCTGAAACAGGCGTCAACGGCTGTATATGCGGTGGGGACCACCCAAACAATCCCCTAGAGATCATCATCTTGAAAGAGTTAACAGATTCACTAAGCCTTTGTACAACACCACCTCTGTCTCTCTTCTTACACACCCAAAAACCCTAATTAATTCCTCTCCCTCTAAATTTAGCAGCAGATCCGCTAAATTTAGAGGAAAATCAAAAATACTTGATCGTGGGTATGATTTTTTGTGCGTTAACTTTCAATTTTTTACAAAAAAAAATATTTTTATTTTCCTTTTGCATTCAAAAAGCTTGGAAAAATTAAAAAACGGGGGCTTTAGTGAAGGAAGATGTAACTGAGTCAAAAGAGGCGGACAAAGAGGAAATGTTGACTCCCACCCGCGATTGCACCAATTCAGAGAGCAAAAAAGAAAGCCAAAAAGAAGGTAGATTACTATTTAGTCCTCAAATTTTAATTGAAATTATTAATTCATCCTATTATTTGGTATTGCGTGTGTTCTTTTCCGCAAACATCGTTTACAGTAATTGCAAGAGAATAAAAAAAACTATTCAACTTTAGAAAAACAATTTTGTTTCTGTCCCATAAAAATATATTTACTTTAATATTTTCATTTGTATAGTACAATTAGTTATTTTTCTTATTGAGCAAGATAATTAATTTCTTAATTGTGTAAAATATTTCTATTTAATATGTCTTATTATTAGAAATTTTTTATTTTTTTCTTTATTAAAAGTGACATTTGTATGAATATAAGGCGTATTAAAAATATTAATTATTTTTTATTAATATGTATAAAAATAGAATAACTTTATTTTTATGAGACGAATGGAATATACATAGGGTCTTGTTTCATAGAGAGTAGGACGGGTTATTAAATTGCTATTTTATTTATCTAAATAATTAATGTTCCTTTTTGCCACAAAGATACTTATTTTTCTTTTTCATTTATTTCAAATTAAATGTCATTTTTTTGTTTTAAAAATAATAATATTTTTTAATTCTTTAATGTATCCTTATTTAATATGTATTATTATTAATAATTTTTAATTAATTAAATTCTTTATAAAGGTATATTAAGAAAGTGTGATTTAAAAAAAAGAAAAATGTAGGTAAAATTGATTTTTCAGACTATATTAACTATGTTTTGTGTGTAAATAAACACAAATCAATTTTGAAAGATCCTTAATTAATTGAGTACCGAAAGAGAGATAATATTATTTAATATTTTTAAAATAACAAACGTATTAGTGAAAAAAAAATCTTTTACACGACACTCTCAGTGGCATAAAAGTAAAATTACTTAATCATTTATGATATTTAATTCTGTAAAACTATTTCACCATTTCACCTGAAAAATATGTTTAGCTATAAAAGTGTTGATAAAAACAATGAATGTAAAAGATTCTCAGTAAAAATAATACCATTTTTTATAAAAGGATTAAATGGTTTAACAGAGTTAATATTAGGGATGAATTCGTGAATGCACAAACAATAGGGATAAATTAGTAATTTTATCGATTACATAGTAATTCTCCCGAGAAAATACAGCAGAAACGCTTTTGAAACGTTTTTTTTTTTTTTTTTTTTTTTTTTCAAAGACGGTATTAGTGAAAAAAAAAGTCTTTTACAACGACACTGCCTCAGTGGGCGAATAAAAGTAAAATTACTGTAATCAGTTTATGATATTTAATTCTGTAAACTTAATTTCCAGAGCAAAGCCATTTCAGCCATGAAAATAATGTTTAGGCTATAGAAAGTGGTTGATAGAAAACGAATGAATGTAAAAGATCTCAGGTAAAATAATACCATTTTTTTTATAAGAAGGATTAAATGGGGTGTTCACAGAAGTTAAAATGATTGAGGGATGGAATTTCGGTGATGCACCAAACAATAGGAAAGATTAGTAATTTGTAATCGATTATCAGTAGTAATGTCTGCCGAGAAAAATACAGCAGAAAACGGCTTTTGAAACGTTTTTTTTTTTTTTTTTTTTTGTTTTTTGTGCAGCTGCTTCCTGTCGCGTTATGCCGGGTTTGTTTTTTTTTTTTTTTTTTTTTTTTTTGTGCAGCTCTTCCTTCCGTTATCGTTTGTTCTTGTTTTTGTTTCTTTTTGGTTAGATGGTAGATTAGAGTTAGGTTAGCGGTCAAGTACAGGCAACAACATTGTACAACGAGCGGTATCATTTCTAGACATAACTGCCTTTTCTTTTTTATGAAAAAACTGACATAACTGCCTTTTTACATCATAATAGTTCTATTATTTTCGTTTTTTTATAAATAAATTACAAAAATATGAAATATGACTTTTTTGTATGGAGAAATTATTGGAACAAATGTAGTAATCCTCAAATTCTCCCCATTTAACTTTAACCCATTAAGTAAAATAATTAACTAGCATTCTCATTTATAATTTTTTGGAAAGGATAGGAAGAAAAATAATGAAAGAGAACATAATAAAAAAAATTTATGAAAAAATATTAATTTTTTATAATTATTTTTTACCTCTATGTTTGATACGATGAATGTAATAAAATAATATTATTTACTTGTGTTTGAAAATGGCAAAAATTTTAAGAAAAAAATGTTATTATTGGAAATTGAAAATTATATTGTCATTTATTTTTAAACAATAAAATATAGTTTATATTATTTTGGATATTTAGGTAATTTAATATAAGTAAGTAAAATTTTTATTTTTCTCAATTATTTTCTCTCAAATCAAAAAGATTCAAAATATATGGACCCGAATAGAAAATAAATAAAATATTATTATTCAATATTTTTCTTATATTTCCTAAACGGTTGAAAAAACCTTTTCATAAATATTTTTTTTTAGTTATTTTCCTTCCTTGAAATGAATACTCCCATCTAAATAATGAAAGAAAGGGTTAGTGTAACAATTTTATTCAAATCATTGGAGCTGTAATGCCAACAAGATGTACTTTAGCCAAAGTTTTTCAATAAACAAATTGATAAATTTTAAATTCTTTTATAAATACACTTTATCTATCATTATTAATGACTTTTTATTACACTTTATATACTAATAGTCTTTTTCAATGTGACTTGCATATGTTTGTTATTGTTGTTTATACTTATAAATTATTATTTTTACTCTTTTATATTATACAATAATATTATTTTTTAAAATTTAATTTTAATTATCATAATTTATTATTAATTTTTTTAATTTTTTAATAATAAATTCATTTGATTTAATAATTGATTGTCTTGAAAATTTTACATTTGTACGTACATGTTTTTTGTTATATGTTACTCGTTGTTTTCACTTGTATTTTAATTTTTGTATATCTATAAACTTCTTGTTAATTCATCATTTTCCTCGATTAATTTTAAGTTTTATGAAATTGTTTGAGCTAAAATCTAGTTAGGATTCCTAGAGTAACTGTTTAAGGTTGAAATTGGCCAAATAATTAATTAAATGTGAAAGTAACAATCAAATTAATAGTTCTTATAATATTTTCCTTAATTTAGTGTATAATTTATAAGATATGGTGAAATTCGAATTGGAGCCATTTCTAGCGGCTAAGATATGTCAGTCTAAAGCCAAAGTGAATCTAAACTAATATATTATAATAGAATCATCAATTGATATTATGAATATTTTACTTTATTCTTAGCTACTTTATTTTATTAATATTTTGAATATTCAATATTACAAATAATTAAATTCATTAGCTAATTTAGTTTCAATTATTTATTTTCTTAAATTTGAAATTTGAACGTTAGAGGATGTAATAATTTATTTCTAAAATAAAATATGAATTTGAAAAATAAAATATAAAAATTTCAAATGTCTTATTATCATATATATTTATTAAAAAATAAAATTAAAAAAGATAAAACTTAAAATTTTGAAATTTGAAAATTTTGAACGTTAGAGGATGTGAATAATGTTATTTCTAAAATAAAATATGAATTGAAAATAAATATAAAAATTTCAAATGTTCTTTATATCATATATGATTTTATTAAAAAATAAAATTAAAAGAAGATAAAACTTTTAAAATGTTTGAAATGCTTATTGAACTAGATATATTTTATTTAAAAATGAATTTTAATAGAAGATTATATCCCAATCAATTAATAAAATATAATTTTGATAATTGGTGCATGAAATAAAGTTATTTTAGAATATTTCAAATTTCATTAAGGACGCCTATAAAAGTTTCAATTATATATCCAATCAATTAATAAAATATAATTTTATAATTGGTCATGAATAAAGTTATTTTAGAATATTCAAATTTCATTAAGGACGCTATTAAAAGTTTCATTATTCCTCGCTATTCTCATATTTATAAATTTGTACTAATATAAAATTTTCAACCAAAAGAATTAAAATTTTCAAGATTTTTTTGTCAATACATAAACTTAGTTGGTGTGTTTTTATGAACCAAATGTTTCCTTTCATACTTTTATACATATTAGTCTTATTTATGACGTGCGTTGCTGTTGAATCCATTTTGTGATTTTTTAGATTTGGACTTTATATTTTGATTTTGGGCTATTGGATTTGTAATTAATTGGGCCTAATTATTGATTTATGTAATTAATTAATTAATTAATTAATTGATTGATTGATTGATTGATTAAAAAGAGGAGATAAAGAAGACGCGATTTGCAGTTGAGCAAGCACTTCTCAAGCAGTTGTTCACGTACAAGAAGGTGGGATACTAAAGGAACTAATGTGAACGTGTGTCAGTTATTCCTTTTGGTAACTACCTATGAAGCTTATAAATAGAGCAAGGGAACAACCAACAAGGCCCAACCAAATTCTCTACGAATTCAACAAATCAAATCAATTCTCCAATGAGTCAAGCAATTTTATCTTCAAAACCTTATTTTTATTTTCCTAAGCACTATCTATTTACATTTCTTGTAATTACAAGCTTTATTTTCAATGCAAGCAATCAATTTATATTTCAAACAATCAAGCTCTCTTTTACAATTTTCTCTACCAATTTTATTTTAATCGCACAACTAATGAAGCATATACCATGGAACCAAATCCACAGCTTAGAAGTTAGATCGAGCACACTTTATTTTTCAGCTAGTGTACTTCATACACTTGGACACCTGCAATTAAATCACAAATCAAGCTGTCAGCCAGTAGATTCATTGCTCTTTTCTAAAAAAGAACCAACAATCTTTAGTGGTACGCTTAGTGGGCAACTTTTGTGCATTTCATCTTTCACTTGAGTTTTGAGAGAACACCATGACTTGAAAAACTCGTTCTGTTGTTGAAAAAGAAATTGTTGCTGGGTCTCTGGATTTGGATGGAGGACCTATGGGAGTAGGCCTTTGAAGCCCTAAAATAGAACCATCTCCTTATGAGGAAGGAGAAATCAACTCTC